TTGTAAAAATAGTTGACAAAAGTGGTAGTACGCTTAGCGAATACGAATAAACGAGGGAATATCTAGAGATTTGGGAATGTGTCATGTGACTGTCCGGAAAGTAACGGATGAGCAATGGGGTAGGAATGAATGCAGTCTGAAGCTTAGCAATTACACCATGAGTAGTAAAGGCATTTTAGGTCATGAACAATGGTTCGTGACGGCTAAGAAGTATGAACTAAGCAGGCGCGTAGAGAGGCAGGAGTGAGGAGTGCAGAAATGACTATACGAGTGAAAAAACAACAGGATAGTGTCATATCAGAAGCAAGCTTGTTGAAATGAGATAATATCAAACAAAACAGCGTAACAAATTGGTAGAGATGATGCCTCAGGTAAAAAAAAACTGCCGCGTTAATCACCCGCCCCCATCAGTTTAAGTGCATCCAAGTGGAGTATAATTGAAAAAGGTAGCTCAGTAGAGTACCTTACAGAATATATGTTCATATAAGAAAATGCAGGGAGCTGAGTGCAATATCTAAACATTTTTTAAAATCGATTTAAGTAGAAGCATGGAAAACTGGGTTTGGAAGGGCGTTTCAGGGTTGGCAGGTCCGAAGGGAGAAGTAAGTTCATGCACACTCTAGACGATTGCATTGTTGACTTAATGTTAAGCTACAGTCCAACTTGCTATGATGATCATCTGTCTATGATGACCAGCCAAAAACATCCCCAGCGTTTTATCCTATCAGTAATATCCTTTGCATGTACCAATCCATGGCGAACACCTGTCTAAGCGAATCACTTTTTGTTGGTTCCTTGAGTGGTCACCTTAAACAGGTTTGACGGCATTCGCTCTCATGTTGGTATTCGGGTTGCGTTTGAAAGGGTGGCTGGGGTTGGTCAGTAGTTGGTATACCATAATGAGGCATCCATATAGCCACTCGTAGCATCCATCAAAAACGGATCTTCTTCAACCATTTCGTGCACGGAAGGTGGTGCAACCCTTGACATTCTTCGTTGCTCGGCGTTATGGGGTCCCAAGCACTGCAAAGTTATGCTTAACTAAGATGACCAGGCCTGGATAGCATACTCGAATTAGGGAAGCACGCAGAGGATGAGTGTCAGAGAAATGATGGGCAAAGCTAAAGTCCCGAACTCCCTCCACAAGAGATCAACATCCCAGGTATATGTTTTCAAAGTGGACTCAGACTAGCTGGAACAACCGAGGTCGTCCTGTATGGGGATATCAATGCCGCGTTTCTAAGAAGTAGTCTGTAAATCGTGCGCGCCAAGCTTGTAGATGCAGAAGTGTCGGTGGCGAACGTGAAGAACTCGACACTTGTCCACATCGAATGGTAACGCGTTCCTTATCGACAAACCGCGAGTTTCATCAAGGTCGCGCTGGAAGATCTCGTGATCGGTAAATCGCCTGATGGCTCGCCAAACCTTAGCGTCTACCGCAAAGAGTAAAAGCTCTGAGATGGCAAATCCCACAAGATGGTTATTGAAAGCTAAGGACAGGAAAGGCTTTGCGGTATGCCGCACTCGACTCGAAATAGGTCGGAAAATGATGTGCGGACTATGACTAATTACCCTTAATAACAGTTACCGATCACTCCCACTGCTAGATCATCAATGTCATAGTTCTGAAGCTTGCAAAGCAGTATGCGATGAGGTACGCGAGTGATCGTTTCCGAAAGGTCAGAGTACATGGCATCGGTCCCTGTCCCCTCGTCGAGATGCCAGTTGTCCAGTCTAGTTCGTGGTAAACGGTCGGCGTTGACAAAAACTACGCTGCTCTAGGATGACGATACCCAAGCATTTCAGGTAGCTCACCAATGCGTCACGCACACGACCGTGGCGATCATAGGGAGAAGCGTTAACCAGCGACAATCAGCAGTGCAGATCGAATTCTTCTCTAGTGAGTAGAGTTGATAACACCCATTTGTACCTGGACAGAACTATATCCTCGTCTAGGTAGCGGCGAAAGAATCCGGTAAACGGTTGATCTAGGTGTAAGGCTGTTGTCCTCAATGATTTTGCGTCAGTGTAATCCGTTCCAAGAGAGCTGAGTGTGCGCAGGGATAACAATTCTTTGGCACAGCTTCTGCGGTGAAAGTGACAGGGATTAAACCTTATGATGAAGTAATGGAAACAGGAAAAGTATTCGAGGCATGCATCCCCTGGAAGTTAGGTGAGTACTGGACCCGTAAGGCATTGGGCACCTCTCTCGCTGTGTGTGTGTGTGTAGACGCACTAACTGTAGTGAGAAACGAGATTCTGCGTTTCACTGTGTGAAGATTATAAATGTGTTAGTAAGGTTTTTGGTTCGAACAAGGCCGTTTCACTAGCTCCCCTGTTTGTGTGTCAACTTGTTTTTGCGAATCAAGCGCACACCGTAGCTGCGTTGGGCCGCGTACACGGTGTACTTTTAGGAGCTGGGAGGGCTCTTGTAAACCCACCAAATCCCTTAGGGAGATACTTTCTTGCTTTCTTACTCAAGGAAGGATTTGTTTTAAAGAAGTGGTAGAAAGTAGTAGACGCGGATATTTTTGAGACTAGTGAGGTTTCTCAGATGTTTCTTGGATGCAGAAAGTTGTGAATGTCCATCTCGAATCTTTAGGGAATATGGACAGTGGGCGTTAGTGCGTAACGGAACGCACTGCACCAGGTTATGGGTCCGGATAACGGAGACAGCAAATATAATCAAACGGTAGGGTCACATGGTCGTTAAAACCCAAAGGACTGAATGCGTCTAACCCATCAACAATGAGCTCCTACCTAGTGAGCACCAAGGTTATTCGCAGTTCCGAACCTAATGGGATAAATGACGTGACTGTATGAGCAGACGTTACGGATTAATTGGAATACAGACTTTGAACTGTTCGCTATCGGTTTCCAAGTCGTGGATAATGAAATCCCCTGGAATGAGGAAATAACCATACTTCAGATTCATCACAGTATGCAAAGCTGATATTGAGCTGTGATCCCCTTCCGCATATTAGACGTTTCATCGTCCTTCATCCATAGCCAAAACAACAAAGGGAATCAGTGACGTGTATGAGGATAGTATGTGAAATAAGAATATTAGAAGACGAAGCCTGTGGGATGAGATGGTGTTTTCGTGCATACTCGCCGGCCACGCATTTGTAACTAACAAGGGATTCAAGACAATGTCACATGAAAGTAACTACACCATTTCCCGGCCAAGTTGTCCGCTTGGGCAACAGAAATAATCTGAGGGGGCATTCAACATGAGTCTACTCAATTAATTTGTTCCGTGCGTGTGAGCTGAAGCGTCCCACCTGCATCCCTATGACTTAGTGCGTCTGAGGTCTAATTGGCTGAAGGCGACGGGCTATACACGCACACCTACACACCTGCACAAGTGACTGGCGTACACACGGAACAAATTAATTGAGTAGACTCATGTTGAATGCCCCCCTCAGATTATTTCTGTTGCCCAAGAGGACAACTTGGCCGGGAAATGGTATAGTGGTCAAACGTTTTCCGATTGGTACGTTACATACTACCATGGTAGGCTTAGGCTCACTAGCAATCGTTTTTGGACGGAGTGGTGAACGCTATCGATCGATAACAATGGTCTAGAGCAGCTTGAGTATGTGAGACCTTATCGGCAAATAAGGACTGTGAATGACTCGCAATGGTTAACTGGTGACCGGTGTTCATCAAATGCGTGATCGAGAAGACAGTTTCGCCTCTTAATTCACCGGGTGCAACTTGCGCATGTCCCATCGGTTTGCGGAGCCACTTTGAGATGTGTTCATAGATTAGGACACAGATAAAAACCATGCCCTTTAGCTCATATACTCCTCGACAAAGCATAGGCGCCACAGAGATCGGAGTTACATGCCAGAGGAGCAAGGTCGTCAGTATAGTCACATTCAATAACTGTGAATGAAACAATAGTATAACAATAATGAAATAATAATATACATAAAACGCTATCGGCAAAACAATAGTCGACACGGAGCACAGAGGATATTCGCTGTTTCACCGGATAAAGTGAGTGCAATTTTCGAGATCATCATAAGCCCGCAAACAACAGAATACACGTCGTTATCAAAAAACGTCTGGAGAAACACCGGTCTGTCAAGGTTTCCTAGAGCGTCTAATTAGCCAAAGAACATGAGAGTCAGAATAGCACACATACGGAAACAAACCGAGTGTGGTGAGGACAAAGGTCATGAACAGCAAGAAGAATAAAGGTTAAGTGCTTCCGCACGTATAGTTTCACCGATTAGAAGATACGACCATAGTAACAGTAAGTGCTCTGGCGATTTCATTGTAACAGACAACCCTCAAGCGGCGATTTAGGGTGAAGCTGATGATCGGTGTCAATCGAAGAAACCGGTAGGTTGGTCGATGTTGCCTGTCGCGTTGCTTGTTGTGCCAATGTCGTAACAATGCGCCATGCGACGTGCTCTCCAACCCGTTTACTCAGGAATTGATCTGCTCTGACAAGTCAAGTGCTTCCGCGGAGATAAACGGGTCTGGAGGAATCGCTCGGAATTTCCAGAAAGGTGCACAGGCCCATTCAGATAAATGGCTATTGATCACAATTAAGCGATAACATGGAGGGATGCCTCGAGGGAATCTGACCGATTCTAGCAGCGGTGAGTTGTGTAAGTAAACTCTGGGCCAGGAAATACAACGACGTTTAGTAAGTTTAGCAGATCACAAATGACAATTCGAAGCTGTTCATGAGAATAAGAGGACCTCACAAGGCTTGGAATTCAGGAGAAGCGGACGGTGAATATAAAAAACAGATAACCTGGAGTTTTCTACAGAATCAAACACAGGTTAGTGCTCAAATGGACCAACACGTAGAAATATGCCGTCCGATGGAAGTGATAGGATAAAATATCAAGAACAAGGCGACAAAAATTAGCCTCGTTCAGGGAAGTCGAAACTATGAGCAGATGGTTTCATAACTTAATGTTCCATGTGATGATATCAAGAAACAGAAAAAATAGGAGGGGAAGCAAACGCGAACTAACCCGTGATCTTCGCGCCATAATTCGTTAAAAATGTGTAACTTCGAGATGGAAGGAGATCATAATCTTGGTTAAGGAAACAAGGTGCACTGTGTCTAACACGGATTGGTAGCTTTGAAAGAGTGTTGCGAAAAACGGGCGCTCCATTGAGTAAAGGAGTGCATTCGCCCGCAGGATCCACGGATACACGAGGTCGTCGAACAACAGACGATGCGATGGCACCGTAATGTGTAACGTCACCGTCGACAGGTTGCTGCTGCTGATACTCCGTGTTCGCCTCATAAGTGTCGGACTCTTCATCCATCAAACGGTCACCTGAGTCATCATTCACATCCACGGTGGTGACACGGTTGCAACAGAAACAGCGGAATATGGAACGAGATCTCGGTTTTTGAGGGAACACTGTGCGCTTGCAGATTGGACAAACCCGACGATTTTTTAAGAGCCATGGGTCGATACACTTGGTATGATAGGCTGGGGGAAAAGAGGCAAAAGATAAGGTTGAGTCGTTTTCGTTCGTCCCTATTATAGCAACGGATAGCGTGCTAGTATACGCAGGTAAAAATTCATCGACATGAAACAGAAAAGTAGAAAGAGAGGTGAAAATGTGGGAGTCCGCGTGGAGAAACTTTCTGAAACGACTATAACTTCAATCAAAAAAGCAAAATCAAATCTAAAGCAGGATAACGATGAGGGGGAGTGGAACAGCGGTAGTGTCGACAAGAAATATGACATAGAAAATTCGTCCCAATAGCTACACCTGTTCAGATCATTCGTTCATATATGGTCCGCGTACTATGGTTTACCATGTCCAATCCTCTTGACTCACGTTATCAAGAATATCATAAAAATAGTAAAACTATAAAGAAATGAGAGAAATGGAGAACTGGCAATACAAAACTTAGGAAAAGGAAAACCCCCAGATAAATGCGTTGAGATTTGAAAACAATAGATTGCACTACATCGGAAAGGGTTTCAAAGTCAAGGGTACTGCCGATCCCCGGTCGAGTGGACCTCCGGGGATCAAAAACAAAGTCCGGGCGGCGATCATAAAATCGTTGTTAAGGAGCTCCTAGGTTATTTATATAGTACATAGCTTAAATTCACTATTTTGCTGTGGTCCGTTTCGCTGGCTGATCTATGTTAACTGGCCTGTATCGTTGGCTACATTCCGTTGACTCGTATTCGTTATCCAGATGGGAGGATCCAGGCCTACCGGGTTTAGTTACGTTGGGCCTCGTTACTGCCACACTGGATAGAATGTACGATAGCCTCTCATAGGTGGAGTCCGATTGACCATCCGTCCACCTGACGGATGTCCCTTCAGATGGCCAGTTGCCACAGTAGATCGTGTTGTTAACCTGGACTCAGACATACGCCCCCTGCTCGCCGCCTGGCGGATCAGTCCTCTTCTCAGCTGTCTGACGGCACACCGTCTCTCCTCTGCGTTAGGTTAGGTCCGCCCTGGGTGATCAACTTCCATAGGTGGCGTCTAACTAGCCGTCCGTCCGCTTGCTCGATGCTACCTCAGCCAGCCATCTGTCACAGCGGATTGTGTTGTTAATCTGAACTCAGACGTATGACATATGCTCGCTGCTCGGAGGACTGATCCGATTCTCAGCTGCCCGAAGGCACGTTGTTTATTCTTCGCCCTGGATCGGGCCATCGTGCGCGCTCATCTCTGGTCAGTGACGCCTGGTTGTTTCCGGGCCTATCGGTACAGTGACGATTTCATTCGCTCCAGGTTTCAGCCACTATCACACCCAGTCAACAAGGCTTGACAACAAATAGGCCAAAGAGAGAACAGAGAGGAGTAACAGACCAAGTTTCAATTAGTCCTAGTAGCCCTGCATCACAGTACATTGAGGGGGGGGAGACAGACGATAAGCGATTAAAACAACCGTAAAAAACGAAGTGCGGAGAGCAATTCTAATGGAACGCAAATTTCAGTTTTTCTAATGATATAAATTAACCTAGAATCGTGAGCCCACAAGATTGCCATCGCAGTTGCGAAGTGTAAGTGGTGACCTACACGTCCTTAAATAAAAAAAACTGGTGCTTGTTTGAAGGTAGCAACTCACAACCAAAAACAGGATTACACCATATGTTCAGTTCTGAAACCGGCCGAAGTAATACGTACAGCAATTCAACGCACTGCATGGTCTCAGCAGCACGTAGCTGACCGCTGAACAAGCTACCATTGACCTCACAACGTACCTGGTGAGCAGGATTACCCTGGTAATCGACCTGCGCTTTTGTCTTCTGAGCAGCAAACCTAGTCGAGTGACATTATGCAAAGCGTCACACAATCGTGTCCCCGGGTTTTCGTCACATCGATTTCACCTGCATTGTCATGGCGTAGAGCTTGTACATGAAACTACAAACCCATAGACAGATCCATATATAGATCGAACCCGCTGAACAGTGCATGTGTCGTATACTCTAAGACAATGTGTTGTGAAAGCGAGTACTTGGTAAACATGATAAGCAGAGCCTACCGGATGGGTATAAAAGCTGAACAACTGGTGCTCGTCTCAGCCCTTGTCATATGCGCTCGTCCATTGCTTATGAGAGAAACAGCTGGTGCGATTGACGATAAGGTAAGGAAAAAAGGCAGTTTGAGTAGAGGGAAACACTTCCTGGGCAGCGGGAAAGGAAGTAGCTGCCACCTGGATGGACTGATGTTCGATTGTCTCGCTCTCTACGTTGGAAGTAATGTGACTCTCCAGTGCCCGTGGTTCGAAATCAACCTCAGTGGTGTAGTTCAGTTCATCACAAGGTCAGAGTTGATCATGACGTAGGGCGGCGAGAGCTGCCCCATCTCATTGTGATGAGCAGGTGCCTGCGACCGCAACTGCTGACAGGGAGTACGCACACTAACTGAATCTTTGACAGTTTTCACTACTTCAGGTCATATTTTACTTCGATCCACAGTTGCTAACAGTAATCACCTCTGTTGAATAACAATTGCACAGCAAAGAAGTACTACTACGAAGAACGGATAAGCTGTTGCTGACGATGAAATCCATGGTGTTGGATATGACAACGAAAACTGATAGCTTAGAGTGTTCAGGTGGCGGTTGAAGTGTTTTTGCGGAGGTTTCATTATTAATCGATGGGACATCATCAGTTCGTCGTTACGCGGCGTGTAGTCGCGTGGCGTAAGTTAGCCTCGTATTCGAGCCCAACATTCACGTGATCAGCTAGCAATCATCGGAGATGCCATGCACAACAATATATCTAGTCGCCAGTTAGTTTCGTACATGCCAATTTTTAAGCATATTACTCATGGAACACTATATATGACCGTCACCCAAGGCAAAAGAACAACTTTTTGATAGGATAATCCACTCAGCAGCCTTCAGTAAATTCCATGATGCACTCATTGGAGTATTAGAGAAGTCAATAGTAGATGAGCCTACCAAGCTTGCGACATAGCTGTGATGGATGCAAATGCTTCGAAGCGCGTCCGAAAGTACTTACATAGATTAAAAGTTTCGGAGAAAGTAAGCCATCAAATAGCTAAAGCAATACAATACACTCGTAATAACAGGAGCAAAAACAAGATGTGTCATTTTGGGTTCGAAGAAATGGAATCAATAGGAATCGTTAATCAAGCAGCTGGAAATGAAGTCGGTCATGCTAGAACCGGAAGCTGCTGATCCGTCTCAATATCCAGGCTATGGTCAATGCAATGAAGGAGCGAGAGGTGTATAAGATGCTCAAAGGACACTCCTATAAATCATCAACAATGGCATGTTCTCTGTCACCTTCAAATGAACTATCCATTTAATGTGTGCAGAAGGTTGAGCAAACTGTGGAAACGGTTGATAATGATGAGGGGTAGTGAAAGCCGCCAAAAGATTTTCTTACCGCTGTTGTTGTTGTTTTGTTGTTGTTGTTGTTGTTGTGTTTTCACATGATAATCAACCGGAAGTGAACGTGCGTTGTCAGTACAGGTGAAGTAGCTCTGACCGTGAATGTGCGCTTGGGGCGATTAGAATATGCATGAAGTTTGCTTTGTGCTCTCTTCCCACTCCTGACTACTAGGTACACTACTGTTGTGTGATAGTGAAATGTCAGTACCATGTACCAGTGTGCTGCTGTTGAAGCTTGAATGTCTACGAAAACACCTATGGGACTACCTGAATAAACGATCAGCAGTCCCCAGGCACATCGTACGGACACTTCGCTGCCCCGCTACCATGTACAGCAGCCCGAGGGTTGGGTACGCCGCAAGGTCGCCCGCACCTACGCGTCGGCAATGAGCGTGTTCGGCGCCTTATTTATGCTACAGGAAGAGGAAGTGGACCGGTCAGCACCGCTATTTCACGAAACAGCCTACGATCGCTGGACCAGGTGCAGCGTATGCCAGCACACTGAATATCGCGACGTGCGTTGTTTGCGCGACCAGGATGTGGATGGAAGAGGAGGAAAAGAGGTTAATCGATGACATGCTCAAGAGGAATGAAGGCTCTTAGTTCGAAGTTGGCCTCGGTTGGAGCTTCTGGGCTTCCTGGTGGGTGTCCGAAAGACGATGAACATGTTTGGTTGGATACACTTGTTGACATAGGAGTCGACCTCAGTGGCGTTTGAGTTGTGTTTCATTGCCCATCTCCCTCCCGCTTAGCCTCCTCCAACCACGGGCTCATTTCTGACGCGTAGAATAACTTTGTGCGGCACAACAGCCGGCTGACAGTTCTCCGGAACCATGTCCGTCCGTAACTGGTAGCTCAGCTGATGTGTCTACGTCACATCTTTTTTCCATTCCCAGGTGTTGCGGCACAATAGCTGAGATGTTCCACACACCTAGCTAACGTATATAATGATTAACAATAAATTTATACGGGTTAAAAGGCGTTGCTTTAAAAGTCCCGTTGGATAATTGGTGGGGATATTGAAATAAATAATAATAATAATAATAATAATAATAATAATAATAAACCAGTTAGTACTTTAAACATTAAAATAAGGAGTTACCGTCTGATCCGCTGTAGTTCTGCAATTCGCGTAGATTCACAGCGCCCACAGTCAACAACAAATAAATCCATGGTAAACTCCAGGTGTAGGATGGAGACGTAGAGCTAAGTGACAAAGTGTAAGTGGATGAGTGCGTCATCCAAACGTCTTTTAAATACTTTTAGTGTCTGCGCAAAGAAGACAGATTCTGAGAGAGTATTCCACGGGTGACAGACACGAATGGAGAATAAATCCGTGGCACTCCTGACAGCTATACTGTTCGGCGAGTTTCAGTGAGTGACTCTTCAGGTTTGTATTGCTGCTGAGTTGCAGTAAGGAGCGGCACACATGATGTGGGTCTCGCAGAATAAAGTACGCCATAAGCAAGTCGCCTCGAAATCTGTGATAGCGTCCGCTGAATACCCCCCAATTGGTTAAGCCTCTGCTCGAATGAAAAAGTGCGCATTCCAATTACGTTCTTAGACGCCCGACGTTGAGGCTGCTCCAGTGTATTA